GTGATGCTTTGTTTTGCATTTGAAGGGTAAACAGGAGTTTATCTCAAGAGGAAGGGTATAAAGGCCATTCTGGAAGAGTAGAAGGATTGACAATTGTACAATTTCTTGATGTTGGAGATTTAAATTTTAAAAAATGAAATGTGAAAATCTTAGAAAAACAATAGATGGCTCTATAATCCTAGAGTTGTAAAATATTTTCAAAGCATGATATCAAAGACAGAAGCCATAAAAGAAATGACAAATACATCTGATTACATAAAGACAAAAAAGCTTTAATACATCAAAAAAAAAAAAAACATAATCAGAGCTGCGGCAATGACAACCTAGGAAAAATATTTGCACTAAATGTCAAATAGTCTGTATTAATATCATTAATATAAATAGCTCTTACAACTCCACAAAAAAGAACATGCCAGTTGAAAAGTAGGCAAAGTGCACAGATGGTCACATCACAAAAGAAGAAATACATCTGGCCATTAAACCTGTTAGAAAATAGTTTAACATTTCTGGTAATCTGAGATATGCAAATTAAAATGATATCTTTTGGGGCTGGGTTCATGGCCAGCTGGATCCCACATGGCTGACTGAGAGGTTGAGTCCCAGGCTCAGCAGTTGAGAAACACAGCTAGTACATGTGTGTGTGTGTGCCCTAAAATCCCAACAGGATGGAGGAGGGATTATGGCATGACCATTCCCTGTGATAGGATGCTTTCTCTGCTCTCTCTAGCAAGCACACATGCCCTGTAACAAACAAAAAACAAATTATTTATTGTGTGTATGTTTTGCATTTTGAACTAGTGTGTGTGTGTGTGTGTGTGTGTGTGTGTTGCCTTTTTGACAGGATAATTACCCATTGGCCAGATTGCAGCATAAAACGCATTCTCCTATGTTGCTGGAAGGACAATATTGATTCAAATAACTTTCTTTGAGGGCAGTTTGGCATTATGGACCAAAAGCCTTAAAATAGATACTCCCTTTGAGGATCTAGAAAGTCTCCTTCTAAGATGTGGACTAAGGAAATAATAAAGGAAGTAAAAATTTAGACATAACTTACATGTGCAGTAGAAGATGTTGGTTGAGTAAATTGTGGCATATCAATGTAAATAATTGAATACAATGAAGCTATTAGAAAATGAGGTTGTGGAAGTGTATTGATTGATGTGGCGTACATTCAGGATATAGTTTGGCATAATGCATGAGGCTGCCATGCAGGGTCTAGGGCAAAGGAGGCCTTGTGTGCCACACTAAAGAGCTTGAGCTTCTTCTGTAAGTACTAGCAAGCCATGGGAGGAATTTAAATGGCAGAGTGTCATTAAAGATTGATTCCATTTAATTTAATTTATTTTAGGGCTAAAATGAGCCATTCTTTGGGGGCATACTGGACTCAAAGTGATCTGTTAAATATAATTTGCTGCCCCATTGGGTTTCTGTTCTGAAGTGGCTGATACTGAAGATAATAGATCTTACAGGCTGTCTGGGGGAACAGGCGTGGG